CTGCCCGGCCCAGACACAGTGCCACGTACTCGGTGCGCAGTCGCTGGCACCGCGTGTCCGCCGTGCACGCCTCGGCCGCGTCCACGCAGCGGTTCTCTCCAGCTGAGCTCACAGACCCTGGTGAAGGGGCGGATAGGCTGCAGTTCTCCGCTCAACTTATTAGTTTCACCCCGTTCATGTCCTCGGAAGTTAAGGGACAATCAAAAACCTGAGGCGAGGACAGTGGGCCTGGCTGAATGGCACTGGCCTGACCACGTTCTTGAGAATGGGCAGCGGCAGGGTCTGGGGGTCCCCACACCACATCAGGCATGGATGATGGAAGCCTGGCCCACCCTCCCGGGGCACAGCCACCATCCCCAAAACTGCCCCACCCCACCAAAAGAGGTCCACGGCCCCCATCCCACTTGACAGGGAAACACTGAGGCATACTGGTGACCTGGCTAATGGAGTCTTATCAGAAATGGCACCAAGGACCGTGGACACCCCCATCCTCTCTTCTGGCCATACTGGGGCACCTGACCTTTCTCCACTCTACCCCCTTGTGGAGCCACTTTGAGTGATCTGTAGCTTTCTGGTTCCCCCTCCTTTCTGCCCTGTGTGGTCAGGGTCCGACAGCCTTCCCCATCTGGTCTCTGGCTTCCTGGGCCCTCCAGTCTCCATCAGCCAAGGACAGGTCCCCTGTTGGCCTGGCTGTGGGATGTGGACTGAGAAGCCTGGGTGGCAGCCATAGGATTTAGTCCTGCACACAGGACCTCAGGATGTATCCTGCATTTCAGTGGGTAGTCCCCCTCGTACGAGGCCAAAGGGGGCACCTGGCATGGTAGAGTCACATTGTGTACAGAAGAGGTGCCGCTGGACGCCCCCACGTCCAGCCAAGCCAGAGTACCCAGTAGGACTTGGCAGCCCCTTCCTAGGACTTGGGTCATCAACACCAGGCTAACAGATCCCCTCCAAGCCCCTCCCTGGAGAGGCTGGGAAGACTAGAAGCCTTTCTGGCACCCCAGTCTGAGTGAAAGGGCCCAGCGTGCCCCTCACCCATCTGTGTGGGTGTGAGGCTCTCCTGCCTCAGGCTGGAAGAGGGTTCCCCACTGGCATTTGCAATCTCTTTTTTCTGGGCTGTGGGTTGGATGGTGGGGATTGTAGTTCTTGCTGTGGCTTCAGTCCCTTCATGTCTGCAGGAAGGACAAACATGCTGAGGACTTGGAAATAGGTACGGGGTGGAGGGAATTGAGGAGAGAGGGCCTGGGCCTCCCCTCCTTTCCTCCTACTCCACTGGTCTTTCTCGTCCCCACACGGAGGAAGGTCCCGAGGCCCAGAGAGCAAGTGCACCTTCCTTGCTAGCCTTGCCTGGCACAACCCCGTGCCTCAGTGACCAAAGCAGCACCCATGTCACCTAAAGTCTTGGATGCACCTGCTCCCTTGCTCCCAAACCTCCTGTCCACTCTCAAAGCAGTACATCCTAGCTCCAAGATCTGTACCTTAAACCTTTACCAGATTCCCATGGAATCTCTCCACCCTGGCTCCTGAGACCCCAGGTGGAGGACGGCAACCCTAGAAGATGGAACAGCAAATGCAGGACACTGAGACAGTTCTGCAATGAGGCCCAGACTAGGAGTGCCAGGAGGAGAGTTAAAATGGCCGGGGGAGGGGTGAGCATGGGAGAGGAAATTTCCAGAGGTACCAGGCTGGACTCGGGAGGAGGGTAGCTCAGCTGTGTTGCAAGGCCAGGTGTCCCAGGTCCCTGAGTATGGACTCCCCCACAGGCACCCCTTCCTGCGTCCTAGTGTTCCTCGAATCGCCCTCTGGTTTTCTGGTCCTGTCAGAGAGGAGCTGTTGCGGAATGACCAGGATGGGGTGTTGGGGAGGAGATGGGCGCTCACCCAGCTGTAGTAGCAGCAGTAGCACGGGCCTCAAGCAGCCTGCCATGCTGGACTGTGAACCGCTGAGGACAAGGACCAGCTGAAGCGGAGCCACTGTAGGCAGATGTCCCCTTCCCAGAGCCTCCCGAGCAGGAGTGCCAGGGACACCCAGGTATCTGCGCTGACTCCCTGCACTCTGGCAGGAGGAGACTCTGCAGCTGTTATGATACCCCGCCCTCTCCACTTTGCCCCTGAGCTTCATCTTCAGGCAGACCTGGAGCGTGACAGCCAGCACTGAGTGCCTAGATGGCCCCAAGAGCCTGTACACACCCAGCAGTGTCCACACAGAAACTCGAGGGTGCAGTCCCTCCCACATGGATTGTAACTTTAGGAAACCACAGTTTTCCTTTCTTTATAATTTTACCGTTAACCTTCTATTAATTAATTTTACATTTGGGTAAGAGTTTGCAAACATATTAGTGTTTCACTCACTCTCTTTACCAACCCCTCCCAGTGCTAACATCTTGTATAAATCACAGTGCAATTACTAAAGCTAGGAAATTAAGATTGGTACAATGCTGTTAACTAAACCACAGACTGTTTTGAATGGCCTAGTTTTTCCACTAATGTTCCTTTTCTGTTCAAAGATCCCACATTGCTTTTAGTTCCTCCCATCTGAGGTGGTTTCTCCAGTCTCTCCTTATCCTTATCCTTGACACTTTTGAAGAATCCTGGTTATTTTGCAGACTCTCTTGAGCTTACCTGATGTTTTCTTCTGATTAGTATGAAGCACATGTACTAAAATAGTGTGAGGCACAGCATTGTTTTGACTAACCAGATTTTATTGGTTTATTTTTTATTTTTTGGCTTTTTGAGACAGGGCCTTACTGTGCAGTCCAGGCTGTCCTTAAACTCAAGGCCATCTACCTGACTCAGCCTCCAGGAGTGCTAGGATTATAGGCATATGCCACCATGTCCTCCACCAAGGTGTTATTCCATAAACAAATGCTGAAATTAAACCCCTCAGCATTGAGATTTAAATGATAAACAAGAAAGCATGCAATTTGTTTTGACTTTTGATGCAAATACAGTGGAATTTGAGGACAATCCGGTCCAGATCTCTTCCTTGTCAGAACCCAAAAGCAAGTCTTCCTTCTTAGGATCCTGAAAAGAGAAATATGTGGATCTCCCAGAAAGGTTACCGATTGTCTTGGTTAAACTCCAAGTGAGCAGAAAATTTTTGAAAGCGCACAGACAGGTTTTTCCTGCAACAAATTTCTCAAAGAGCAGATTTATTCTGATTCTCTTTGGAAAGCCTCCTGTATTGATTAAACTTCAGCTCAGGAGTTGAAAACTCTTTGCAAGATAATGTTGGGTTCCCAGGTTCCAGTCTCTGGTAGCTGCTCAGCTCTTCTGTTTCATGGGGGAAGAAGCCGCAGCCGTGGGTACTGCAATGGAGTCTATGACAGGACTGGGTTGGGTTTAGCCCTACAGTAGACAGTTTTCTTTAGGTGCCGACACCTGTGTGTGAGTTCCTTGTCACTTTAGTTCTAGGTTATGCCCACAGCTGTGTTGACTGCTTCATGAAATGATTGGCATTTCAATTGGAAAACTATTTTAAAGTCTACATGATTTTAGTGTTTGCATATTGAAAGGATGTTGGTCAGTTTTCAGGTTCCTTGGTAAAGTGGGCAGCAGCCCAGAGAGTCCAACAGTGATGCTGACTTGCCTACAGTGATGAAACTTGCTCTTAGAGCACCTCTCCCTCTCTCCCTCCCTCCCTCCAGCCCC